GGACAGAATGAATCTGGAAAGAGCTGCCCCTTGCACCAGCTCTGATTCCTGACCCCAGCCACCTCAAGGGCCAGAGAGGGCTTCCCAGGCTCGGGGGGCTGCCAGAATAATTTATCAGTCCAAGTTCATGTACACACTTTCCCCGAAAAGCGCCCAGCAGCCTATTCTTCTGCTCCTTCCATTGTTATTCTGTCTGGCTCCAAAGCCCAGGCCGTGTGTGTGTGTCCCTGAGCACGTCCGAAGCCTGGGCAGCCGCGAGAGAGACGGGAGGAGGGAGCTGTCCATCCCAGGCTCGGGGCGCGCAAAGGCCAAGCTCGGGACGGGACAGGACGGGAAGCCCAGCTGCTTTGTTTCTCAGGCACGTTGCAAACCCCAAGGACCCTCTCTTATCAGAAGGGACATTTGTACAAGGGGCTGCTGCGGCCGACAACATCTGGAGCTCATAAATCTGGTTGGGTCGCAGCTCCTGGGCTTCCCCACTGATTCCTGGGCCATTTGGCCAGGCTGCCAAGGGAGCAGGTGCAAGAGAGGGAGGTCAGGAGACGGCGGCTGCTACACCTTTCCCCCCCACCCACCCCCATCATTAAAAAAAAAAAAGAAAGAAAAGAAAGAAGAAAACAGGGGGAAAAAAGTTTTGTTTGTGCAGCTCTTAGTTTTTCAGGCTAAGTCTACGTGACAAGCTGCACAGGCGAAAAAAATATTTTCGGTTTAATCAACGTATCAGAACGGGGTTAACAGAGCCAGAAATGCTGGCTAAGATAAACCTGGCGAGGGTGAGAACAAATATTATTGGGGGGGGAGGATTCAAGAAAGCCCCCCCCAAGACTTAAGCGGGATTCTTGTTTGTTTGTCTGTTTGTTTTATTAGATTTATATACCGCCCTACTCCCGAAGGACTCGGGGCGGTGAACAGGCACAGAGTAAAATACATAGATAGAAAAGTTAAAAGACATAATTAAAACCAGATTAAATAATTTAGCCCGAGACAATTAAAAAATCCCAATAATTTAAAACAGATTAAAATTTCGATTTAAAAGAATTTTAAAACAGGGGAGAAAATTAGGCCAGGCCGGCTTGCTGGAATAGGAGGGTTTTAAGAGTACGGCGGAAAGTGCGTAGATCCGGGATCCTCCGTATCTCCGGGGGGAGCTCGTTCCAGATAGTGGGTGTCCCCACAGAGAAGGCCCTCCCACTGGGGGCCGCCAGTCGACATTGTTTAGAGGAGCCCCTCTCTATGAGAGCATACTGGCCGGTGGGAGGCTGCTTGTGGTAGTAGGTGGTCCCGTAAATAACCAGGTCCTAAGCCATGGAGCGCTCTAAAGGTGGTAACCAAAACCTTGAAGCGCACCCGGAAGACCACCGGGAGCCAGTGCAGCTCGCACAGGAGGGGGGTCACATGGGAACGCCCTGTCGCTCCCATAACCACCCGCGCGGCCGCATTCTGGACCAGCTGGAGCCTTTCTCTATTAATTTTATGTATTGATTTTAGATTTTCAAATTTTATTTATTTACCGTCTCGGTGAGGGAGAGAGAGTCGGTTTCAAAATTGAATCGATAAATAAATAAAATACATTTCGCATAGTCCAGTCTTAATGAATTTCTGTACCTTCCGTTACAAATTGCAAGTTGAAAAGACTGCTTGTTGGGCAAGAAAGCGTGTTCGCACAACAAACTTAATGAGGGCTGAGAGAGACAGACTGGCCCAAGATCAAAAAACAGTGTCTGCATTTCTTGTGTCGGATGAAGAGAGCACCTTTTTCTCCTTCTATCCTGGCTACTTTTTACAGAGGCATGATGGAGAGTGTTTTAACAAACTTTCATCCCTGTTTGGTTTGGCGGCTGCAGCGCCTCAGATAGAAAGTCCCTACAGAGAGTGGTGAGGACAGTGGAGATGATAGGAAGCTTTATTCTATTCTATTCTATTCTATTCTATTCTATTCTATTCTATTCTATTCTATTCTATTCTATTCTATTCTATTCTAACGATGGATTAGCTGGTTAGCTTGCCCAGTGGTGAAATCCAATTTTTTTTACTACCGGTTCTGTGGGCGTGGCTTGGTGGGCGTGGCTTGGTGGGCGTGACAGGGGAAGAATACTGCAAAATCTCCATTCCTCGGAACAAGCCTCAGTGGTGCAGCGGACTAAAGTGCTGTTAAGTGCTAGCACTTAGCTGCCAGCTGCCTGCAATTAGTGCGAGTTCGAATCTCACCAGGCTCAAGGTTGACTCAGCCTTCCATCCTTTCGAGGTAGGTAAATTGAGGACCCGGATTGTGGAAGCAATAAGCTGACTTTGTATACAACAACACCGCTTGGGGGGGCGCGAAAGCCCTAATAAGCAGGTATATACAAAAAAAGTATGCAGGCTATTGCTATAATGCATTGTAAGCCGCCCTGAGTCTACGGAGAAGGGCGGCATATAAATTGGACTAATAAATAAATAAATAATAAATTCCCACCCCACTCTGGGACCAGCCAGAGGTGGTATTTGCCGGTTCTCCGAACTGCTCAAAATTTCCACTACCGGTTCGGCAGAACCTGTGAGAACCTGCTGGATTTCACCCCTGAGCTTGCCCCAGAAAGTGGAACAGTCCCCATCCCGTGTCTTTTGGAAGAGTGGAGAGACCTGGGTCTGCCAAATAACCTGAGGAGGGGGGGGTGTATTGTAGAATGTATTGCAATTAGAATAGAACAGAACAGAATGGGACCATGAGAGGTCTTCTAGTCCAACCCCCTACTCAAGGCAGGAGACCCCTATAGCATTTCAGACAAATGGTTGTCCACTCTCTTCTTTAAAAAGGAGCCTTGGTAGTACAGTGGTCTAAAGCACCCTGTTATTAAGACCAGCTGCCTGCAATTACTGCAGGTTCGAATCTCGCCAGGCTCAAGGCTGACTCAGCCTTCCATCCTTTCTAAGGTAGGTAAATTGAGGACCCGGATTGTGGGGGCAATAAGCTGACTTTGTATAAAATATACAAAAGGATGAAGGCTATTGCTTAACGCATTGTAAGCCGCCCTGAGTCTCCGGAGAAGGGCGGCATATAAATCAAATTTTAAAAAAAAAAAATCATGTGAAGTATTAGTACCGGTTTATAAAGCCTTAGTAAGACCACACCTGGAATACTTGCATCCAGTTTTGGTCACCACATTAGAAAAACGATTTTGAGACTTTGGGAAAAAGTGCAGGGAAGAGCAAGTAAGATTTATTAAAGGCCTGGAGATCAAAACATACAATGAACGGTTGCAGGAATTGGGACTGGCCAGTCTAGAGAAAAGAAGGACTAGGGGGGACATGATAGCAGTGTTCCAGTTTTTGAGGGGCTGCCACAAAGAGGAGAGGGTCAAATTATTCTCCAAAGAATTAGAGGGCAGGACAAGAAACAATGGATGGAAGCTAATCAAGGAGAGAAGCAACCTAGAATTAAGGAGAAACCTCCTGAAAGTGAGGACAATTAACCAGTGGAACAGCTTGATTCTGATGGGTGACATGTACAAGCCCCCAGTGATGTGACAATCTGTGCCTCCTCTCTTCCAAAATGGCCTTGGGTTGACAGTCTCTGACCTTTGCCAGGGTGTTAAAGGGGAAGTGCAAGGACTTTTTGACCCCAGATAATATTTTAATTGAATCCATAATCTGAAGGGAGTTGTTGAAATTTGTTCTCTCGGACAGCGAACCAGAACAAGCTGCCAGCTTTGACGGGGCCCCAGAAGAACAAGCTGAAGCATTTGACCATCGTCAGCTTAGCTTCCAGAATGAAGGTAAAGTAGAAATGTGCTCATTTAAAAATGGAGCAGAAAATAACCCCGTTCAGGACTTCAGTAGGGAAATAGACAAATTGGAACTTGTGGGTGCCTGAAGTATTGGCCTTCTCTTTAGCGTTTGGGCATGGGCCCATTAGTCTTTCCTTTCCTTTCCTTTCCTTTCCTTTCCTTTCCTTTCCTTTCCTTTCCTTTCCTTTCCTTTCCTTTCCTTTCCTTTCCTTTCCTTTCCTTTCCTTTCCTCCCCTTTCCTTTCCTTTCTTTTCCTTTCTTTTCCTTTCCTTCCTCCACTCCACTCCACTCCATCCTCCCCTCCTTTCCTTTCCTTTCTTGTCTTCCATTCCCCTCCTTTCCTCTTTCCTTTCCTTTCTTCCATTCCCCTCCTCTCCATCCTCCCCTCCTTTCCTTTCCTTTTTTTCCATTCCCCTCCTTTCCTCTTTCCTTTCCTTTCCTTTCTTTTCCTTGAGGCCTGTTTTTGGCCTCCCAAACCCCCCACGCATCGCGTTTTTGCCCTTCTCAGCCCCCCAGGAGCATTCTGCAGGCCTCCCAAACCCTCTGCGCACTCTGTTTTTGTGAAAAAGGGGCCATTTTTCACAAAAACAGGATGCACAGGGGGTTTGGGAGGCCTGCAGAATGCTCCTGGGGGGCGGGGAGGGCAAAAACTTTTTTCCCCCTTGTTTACCTCTTTGAAATCTTGGTGCGTCTTATACTCCGAAGAATACGGTAAATGCAATTTATGGAAAAGATACCCATGTCAGAAAAAGATCAGGACCCCAGCCAGCCTTCTTGGGAGTGGGGGAGGGGGTGTTTGTGTGGATCATAGCAAAGGTGTTACGGCTTAAAATTATAATAGGTGAACATGAGATTTATAAGCCACGTTTTTCCAAGTGCAGTTGTAACTTTGAACGGTCACTAAAATGAACCGTCATAAGTGGAAGGCTAGCTGTGTAAGCCTAAGGGCTTTTGCTATGCCTCATTTGGCCTTTTCTGCCCCCTTTTCTGCCCCCTCCTCAGTGCATCCCTTATTCGGTGCTGCTGAAAGACCTGGACATGCGGAACCTCCGGGAGCTGGAAGACCTGATCATCGAAGCCGTTTACACTGACATCATCCAAGGCAAACTGGATCAACGGAACCAAGTGCTGGAAGTGGATTTCTGCATCGGGCGGGATATTCAAAGGAAAGACATCAGCAGCATCATTAAAACCCTCAATGAGTGGTGAGCTGGGCCCCTCCCTTTCTCCCTCCCTTTCTCCTTCCCTCCCTCCTTTTTTCCTTCCCTCCCTCCTTTTCTCCTTCCCTCCCTCTCTCCCTTTCTCCTTCCCTCCCTTTCTCCTTCCCTCCCTCTCTCCCTTTCTCCTTCCCTCCTTTCAATCCTTCGGGAGATAGGGCGGTATGTAAATCTGATTTTATATATATATATATATATATGCATATTCTTTCTAGCCAGGTTTTACCTACGTAAACTGGCTAGAAAGAATATGCACATAAAAGCCTACGAAAAAAGAAAAAAGATACATACATATATATATATATATACACACAGAAGGTGTGCGCCAATGGTGGGTTGCCCCTGGTTCAGACCGGTTCGCAAGAACCGGTAGTAAAACTGTTGGGAGGCCCCGCCCACCGCCCCGGATGTCATCAACAGCGATCTGCGCACGCGCAAAAGCTTCTGCGAGCCCGTTGCGAACCAGTAGTAAAGGTAAGTAGAACCCACCCCTGGTGTGCTCACACATTTTTTGGTGTGTGGCAAACCCGTGGTAAAATTATGTGAAACCCACCTTAGATGAGAAGACATTTCGCTTCTCATCTAAGAAGCTTCTTCAGTTCTGGCTGGATGATGGAGGATGGTCGGATGTATATTCCTTGCCGTCATCTGGTGGTTATCACTCTTTTGGAGACTCGTTGAGGTGACTTGGAGGTTTATCTGTGTCCTCAGGGTCACCTGAATAGTAGAGATGGGTGTGGAACTTTCTTGGAACTGCTGAAATGGATGAGGAGCAAAATGTCTCCAAGGAAAGATGAAGTCCAGTTGCCCTTTGGAAGGGAAAAATAAGCATTTTGGGACACCAGCAACAGAATATTTCCTTATAGCTTTATTTTTCCGGATGTCCACTTTAAGAAAGGTTGAAAATCTTCTACCAACCCACCAATTATGGTGTTCTTTTCGTTCTGTCTTTGTAGATCTGTCCTTTTGGGGTCTTCTTTCTAATCGTACTTTTTAAAGATCCATGCAAGTAAGAAGAGACACCCCCAATTCTTGAGAATGCAGGCAAAAGAAAATGTATTTTTTTCCCTCCCAAGTCCAGTCCAACTATAATTATATTATGCTTAAATTGCTAATAGTGGCAGATATGTTTATTAGTGGAAGGATGTCAACTCTTGCTCTGAAGGGCTAGTTGGAACTTAACCTTCTAATTTCCCATTTTGTCTGTGCCCGATACTGACCTGGCTTTATTAAGGAAACCGATCTGCGTCATGTGAGAACAATTATGGAGCCTCATTTTCCTGTGCGCTTCATGAAAATTGTCATTTCTCAAATTCTAGCACTTATGCAGTCTTTTTTTCCCCCTTGGTTATGGAGGAGCCAGTGAGAACCAGGGCAAAGATTTGAGGTAGTGAAGTAATTTTGTCCAGTTAACTATTAGCTATGTGTTTTCCTTCCTTCCTTCCTTCCTTCCTTCCTTCCTTCCTTCCTTCCTTCCTTCCTTCCTTCCTTCCTTCCCACCTCGCTCCCTCCCTCCCTCCCTCCATCTATTCATTTCCTTCCTTCCTCCTTCCTTCCCTCCCTCCCTCTATTCATTTCCTCCCTTCCCCCCTCCCTCCCTCCCTTCCCTCCTTCCTTGTCACAATTCTATCTCTATCCTCCTTTTATGCCTTAATATTTCTTTAGATTGTTGGTTTATGTTGGTTTTCCTGTGTACGCTGTGTAAAAACTGTAATCATATTATTTGAAGCAAAATTTGACATGCCATATTAGACAGCTTTTGCTAAGATGTAACGCAGGGATCCAGTCCTGCGAATATCCGTCGAAATGAAAGTAAGCTAGAGCTAGCTTAATTCTTTGGGTTTCAGCAAGTTTATTCTAAAGGAAATGAATACAGTTGATTGCTTCTCAAGGTATTTTGTAGGAACACTGTGTACTATATTTAGAGCATAGTTTTTACTTGTCTTGCACCTACTATATAAAGCAGCTGATTTCCTACAACTCAACAGTAATCTTCTTGGTGAATAATGCTAGCAAATATAAGGGGATCTCACGGGTAGGCTTCAAAAATTTTAGCAAGGGGTTCTCTGCCGGTTGCTGGGTGGGCGTGGCCTAGTTGGCCTCTTGCACCATAGCGGAGGGGGCATTTTTGCCCTCCCCGGGCTCCAGAGGCTTTCCTTGAGCCTCCGGGAGGGTGAAAATGGTCTCCCCAGGCTCCAGAGGCCCTCTGGAGGCTGGAAACGGGTCCATTTCCAGCCTTCCTGAACTTCTAGTAGGCCCATTTTTTTCCCCAAGCCTTCCCACGCACCCTGCACTTACCTGCATCCAAAACAGACTGTGTGGGGACTCCTGGGAGGGGCGGGGCAGGGTGGGCGGGGCCAGCCAGGAGTGGGATTTGGGGGTTCTCAGAACTGCACAGTATCTTAGCTAGAGGTTCTCCCGAACCCCTGCAAACCCCCTACCCCAGGGTAGGCTGTAAATTTCCTTGTTTTAATCAACTAGTTTTTAAAGGCTTTATGTTTTATGAGACGTTATGATCTCCCATTGATGCAAATATGTAAGGATTTAAAAAAAACAACAACAACTTTGCCTCTTCCAGTATCTAAGATGGATTTTGGAATTTCTGAAATAAATCCTCAGATTTGAGTGGCTTTTCACAAGGGACTGTATGTTTTGTAGTAGTAGTTTTACGGTGATAAACTAACGATACCAAAAGTGCTTTTTGTTGCCATTCACAAATTTCATTTGATTCGGGCTAAATGGAAAACAATGACACTGTAGAATCATATTCTTGGTAACAACTTTTGCTTTCCAATTCTGAATTTTTCTTGAATATTCTTTGAGTAAAATGGGACCTGCAACATAGCCGGGCTTTAATTAATTTTGGTATTATTACAATTGCTTCTTTTTTATATATATAAAAGTTTTTTATTTTTATTTCTCATAAAACATATATAACGTACAATAACCATTCTTATCACATAGATTATCTTTTGGTTTCCATATTGGTTCATTCTTCATCCTAAAACTTTAAAGTACATTCGGAGTTGCTCTTCTACCATTCCATATTTCCCGTCTTCCACAACAACCATTCCTCTCCTTCTCCCCTCTTATCCTTCCTTCCCTCCCTTCTATTCTTTTCAACTTTCTTCTTTCCTCCTCTCCTTCCACTCCTCTCCTTCCCCTTCCTTTCCCCCTTTATTACAGTTGCTTCTAATCCAATTGCCTGGAACTAAATAAATATCATGACACCGAGACCCCTGGTAGGCGATCTTACCAAGATTTAGGCTTAGCGGTGCAGTTGAGACTTGTTCCTTCAGCCCACAGTTAATAGAGTAGAGTAGAGTAGAGTAGAGTAGAGTAGAGTAGAGTAGAGTAGAGTAGAATAGAAGGATGGGATAGGATGGGATGGGATGGGATGGGATGGATGGATAGAGTAGAGTAGAGTAGAGTAGAGTAGAGTAGAGTAGAGTGCTGGCTGGGGAATTCTGGGAGTTGAAGTCCTCCAGGCTTCAAGTGCCCAAGGTTGGCAACCCCTGTTTTAGAGTGGCTGGATAAATACGGTACAAGGGTGGGGCTCATTTTTTGGGGGGGGGTCTCTCCTGGGGGAGGTGGGGGGGAGTGTCTTCAGCTGCCCCGATACAGGTAGTCCTCGACTTAGCAACGGTTCGTTTAGTGACCGTCACTGGAGGGGGAGAAAAAAAAGTGACTTGTTGTTATGGCTTGTTTTTTCACACTTAACGACCGTTGCAGCGTCCCCCCCCCCCAATGGCTCAAAATTCAAAACGCTTAGCTGGGGGGGGAGATTTGAGCTACCCGATATAGGTAGTCCTCGACTTAGCAACGGTTCGTTTAGTGACCAAAAGAAAGTGACTTATTATTTTCTAAAACTAGTTAATTTTTGGGGGGGGGGGACTAATACCATAAAATTATATATATATCAATGGAAAGATAATTGAATCAAGAATGTAATGCAATAACTTTTGTGAAGGATTTGCTCTTAGAAAAGCAGTTACAGGATAAAGAAGAAAAGTGAAACACGTGGGAAAAACGAGAGATACAAAAATGATCGCCATAGAAAAAACGAGATATACAAGGATTATCACCATGCCAGTTAATACTTAGTTGGGTAACCTTTAGCATGAATGATGGCCTTACAACATCTTCCCATGGAGTGAATCAAGTCTTTGAGTTCTGCAGCTGTTCTAATGTGGAACCAAGATTGAATGATGGCTTCTATTAACTGGGTTTTATCGCTTCTGACTAACCAGTTTCTTTAGTCGGCTCCATAGATTTTCCCTTGGATGAAGGTCTGGGCTATTCCCAGGCCATTCCAGCAGTGGAATAGGATTATCTTGAAACTCCAAAAGAAAAAGTGGTGTTATTAGCCATCAAACTTCAATAAATACACTTTTCCCAAAAGGTTTCCACAATTTTGGCCACTACTGTATAAGTATTCCTCGAATTATGACCACAATTGAGCCTGTAATTTCTGTTGCTAAGCAGGATATTGGTTAAATCAGCTTTGCTTCATTTTACGATCTTTCTTGCTGCAGTTGTGAACGAAGCTCTGCAGTAGTTAATTTAGCAACACGGTTGTTAAGTGGATCTGGCTTCCTGCTTTTCCGAAGGTCGCAAAAAAACAGATCACGTGATCCTGAGACACTGCAACCGTCATAAATAAATGGCAGTTGCCAAGCATCCGGATTTTGGTCACATGACTGTGGGGAAGCTGGTTGTAAGGGTGAAAAATGGTTGTAAGTCACTTTTTTCAGTGCCGTTGTAACTTTGATCACTGAACGAATGGTTGTAAGTCAAGGACTACCTGTGTGGCGCAAACCCAGAATTAACACTGGGATCAAATTTAAGTAAGATGCATGGATGAAGTTAGTGGGTTTGGTTGGGGTGGGATCTGCCTTTCTTCTTAGGCTACCTAACATTTATTTGGAGGACTTCCAAAATCGCTTTTCGGACAAATAGTTTCAGTGCAGGCCTTACGAGCTGCTGGGAAAGTGAAGGGATCCATACCGACTCTTC